TTATGATATTTGAATGCAATGAAAGTATAGATGTTGTGAAGTGAATTGGTGAGAAAAGCAGACCCAAACACCCCTTTTTATAGTGCAAAATTAGGCTCCAACGGACCAATGCATTAAAGGAGTGATTAGCTTGATTTATGGGATTGAAAAGATTTGGGATCTGCAGAATATTGGCTTCCCATCGATGTTTAGAATCAACCATCGCTGGTAAGCCAATTTTTCTTCTGTTTTGAAGTCAACGGTCACCTACCCATCGATGGGTACAAGCTTCCCATCGCTGGGTGGGAGGTTGACTTCCAAACAAGGAAAGAATCAACCTTTAATGACCACCAACGGTCATGCCTTCCCATCGATGGTATACCCTTACCATCGCTGGGTTCCCATCGATGGGATAGACTTCCCATCGCTGGGCAAGGTCGTTCTGCCTTGTGGTAATTTTGCACCAAGGCTCTAACAGCGATGGGTGGAACTCCCCATCGCTGTTTGGCATGGTTCTGGAAACTGGTTTGGCTGAGGAGCCGCTTACCCATCGATGGGAAGATCTTCCCATCGCTGGGTGAGTGGTTAGTCAAGAACCCATGGTTTTTGCCTTAACCACGGCCTAGCCAACTGATGCGAAACCCGACCAAAAAAAAATCAAAGTTCTCCAAAATAAAAACCAAGTGTTTAAAACACTTATTTGATGTATTTGGCTAATAAATCGAGTAAAACACTTTAAAAACCACGTCATTTAAGTGAAAACCACGGCTAGCCAAGTTTTATGCCGTTTTGAATGATTTTTGTCAAACGACCAAAAGCGAGAGATGGTTTTCAAGGTGTTTTTGTTGGAGAACCGTTTAAACATGCCAAAGAGTAAAAACCAATCTTAAAAAGTTGAAAACCACTTGGTTGGTTCGGACGCCAAAAACCATAGCCGATAACCGAGAGCCGAACGCCAGTTTCTGAAACCCGAACGCCGGATGGCTTGGTTTTTGGTTTGGGCGAACACCAAGTGTTTTTAATGAGTTAAACATGTTTGAAAAGCATTTTTATGATTTAAGAAGTGCAATGAAGGTTTTTAGCCTAAAGAGCCAAGGTGTAAAGATTGGGTCGGTCTTGATCACAATGAAGACCGACTCAACGACACTAAGACTAAGGTCTTCGTTCTTGGTCTTCTTTTAGCTCTTGTTCTTGTCTTCCTTCTTCGCCTTGTATATTCAAAGTTTGAATTGATCACGGCGGTTTGGCATTATCAAAACCTGTCATAAAAACAAACACGGCTTTAGTACGAAAACGTGACATGCCCGTGTTTCAACAGCAACAAGATAACAGTACAAAACAAGATGTGAAACAGTCACACCCACAGTGAGAGACTGAAATATAAAGAAGAGGATTAATATTTACATGGTACATATTGATGTTGGAAATAAATACTCTTCTAAAATGCACTGGTCATGCAGCTTAGAACGAGATTTATGACTAACGCATAATGTACATGGATAATATTATATTACAGATGCAACTCTAAGTCTAATCTTCCAGGATTTGCGAACTCGTCATAACTAGCACCAGGACCTGGGAAAGCCTTAGCAAACTCTAGCTTGTCCAAAAGCTCATCAACAAAGAAAGAAGAAATGAACAGCTTCCTCTGATTTAAAGCCATGAAGTTCTGCCTCACCGCATCATCTAGAAACTTGATTAGGTTATTGAAATAACCGTCAATGTTTAAGAGACCAATAGGTCTGCTGTGCAACCCTTCAGATGCCCATGAGATTAAGGTGAACAAACCTTCGATAGTGTCAATCCCTCTAGGAAGTACAATGAAGGCTTCCACAATATGAGTCATCTCAAAATACTTATAGTAATTGCTAGAGACGGTGTACTCTACACCGTACGTAGGTCCGTAAACCTGTCGTGTTGCTATATACCCTGGTATGAAACCTCTAACTCTACCACCATTATTATAAACCGTTGAAGCTACAGCTCCTTGAAGGCCAACGTTGCCTCCTACGTAGCTAAGCCTGATTTTTCGCCTTACCAATTCCCGTCCTAGATCAACCGCTGTAGCCATGAACCTTGGATTGCTTCCAAGAGCATCACTACCAAGTAGACCAACGAATCTTATGGTATTAGAAAGAGCTCGAGAAGTTCCTTCCATAATGTGAGAATGTGAGACGCTCTTGCCACAATTTGATATATATATAGACTCTGAAACTAGATCATTGATGGAAAAATAATTATCACCAGCCTAAAAACGTACAGGAAAGTTGATTCGCTCCAGACAAGAATGTACTCGCCAATACTACAGTCTGCTGACGACATGACATATTGAGATTCATGAATAGTTAGGCTCGTTGTCCTGAAATACATTCAAATCTGAGACGAAAAGTCAAAATGACTACTTCCCTAGAGAATGACTCTTTGAGTAATTTCCAAAGGGCGAAACATTGAGTGGTAATTCGCAAATGTTATCTTTGTATCTTGAGACTCGCATCCTTGAAATACTAAAACTTACTGTGTTAATTACACACTTGAAGCATCTCACTTGATCAATCTTGAAAAGATTGAATTCCATATTTTTTATTATCAAATCATTGAGAACTTGTTTTAACTCATGATTCTCCATCAAACCAAAAAGATGTTTAATGATACCGATCTTCAAAAACCATACTCTGTAACGGTTGATGCGATTACGTTATCGATGAAGATTATTATCAATGATGATCAGGAAACTCTGCTTTGACCCTAACAAAAGAGCATATGTGCAACGACTAGAAAAGGAAAAGTTGTCACTTGTGTGGTGAATATGACCACACTGAAGGTGAATGTGATCTCCACCTAAGTCAATTGGGCGGACCACCAAGAGAAACCACGCATGTGTCTATAGAATCCCAAACATATTAGAATATGACTATGTGTATAATTTATCATTTGTTTGATAATAAGTAACGTAACTATTGTGTGAAGTATGAATATTAGTGTTATGACAAATACACTAATATTATAATTTTCGAGCACGAAGCTCTATCATAATTATTGAGATAGTCTTAAATTTCAAGGCAATTCTGGAATCATCAATCAGAAAATTAGTATTCAAGAATGACTACATATCATCTTGATAATACAAACAGTGACAAAATAACAAGTGTTATCCAATACGTTCATCCAATCATTACAATGTGATAAAAACATATATTATTGTTATACATAAGTGTGATATGCATGTTTACGGTTATAGGCATGCATAAGCCATGTGAAATCAGATTGTTAAAATTACGTTAGTCAGAATAACTCCATTAAGGATCACTAATGAAAGTTCAAGTTTTGAAACTATAATTACATATTTATCTAAGAAATCTAGAATGATGACTATGGTAATAGTCATTCCCCAAAATACAATTATGTAAAAATGTCAAACTTGAAAACAATTCATTCCATCTTGTAAACAACGAAGCATAATTGTAAAATCAATATTCTAGACAAAGTCGTCTGAGAATGATTCTAAAAGAATTACAAAGAGGGAAATTTTGTAAATTACTCCTCATTCATGAAACGCAACCCATATAAGAACTTCTGAAAACTCCTACACCACGACAAGAGCAAGTCTAAGAGTATATATTCGACGCAAGTCGTCATGAAAGAAATCCAAACACGTTACATCTATCATCCGCGTATATCCTTTCTCGAAAGAGAACATGTCATACTCATGACACTCAACAAAACAAAGAGAAAAACAACTTTTCAAAATTTTGTTTTACAAAAACAATGGAAATTCAAGATTTTGTACATCATCATTTTAAATGACTTCGCCTAAGGAAATTTCGGGGACGAAATTTCTTTAAGGGGGAAAGAAATGTAACGCCACAAAATATGACCTAAAATTTATTATAAAACAAAAGTAGTTTTTATCCAATAAGGAATATTTGTACGTTTGACTAAAAATAAATGGATTTTAAAAATAATAACATTTTATTAAAATCTTATTTTTATGGATATGTCTCGAAGAGACAAATCCAACGGTACATTTTATGAATCAATCTGATTTATATGTTTCAAGCTATGACAATTTTAAATATTAAAATTTATAACTTTGACCCATAAATTAAACTCAATTCAAAAGAGATTTTATAATATTAGAAATCTTAATTTTTGACACTAGACAACACCATATTTATCATTTGAAATTAATTCATATATTTTTATCTCATTCATATTATTATATTAATTTATGACTGAGACAGACCTAGACACTAAGGAAAATAAAAGTTCTCAGAAACATATTTGGATTACGTCAAAATTCTAGTTTTGACAGTCTGATTCCAAATACACAATCCGTTTTCAATTCGGAGCAGTTTGGGCGAAAAAGTGCGTACCGTTTTAGCCAGTTTATTAGTTATGGAGTGGGAGAATATTTTAAAATCTCCAAATCTCTTCAATCACGCATGCCATCCTTGGGAATCCTTTAAAGTCTACAAAGCCACCTCAACAAATCTCCCATCCTATACTAAAAACCAAAAAATAAAATTCCACCATCACCATCATCCACCATCATTCATCCAATTCTCCTCTCCATTTCTCTCTCTGTCGGCAGCCCAAAGAAGGAGAAGAAAACATCAATGCTCCATGGTTGTATACTAAGGAGGAAGAAGAAGAAGAAAGAAGAAAACTATAAAGTCTCAAAATCCTGAAACCAAAACACATCAGTCCACTTTGAGGTAAAAACTAAAATTTTCCATCCATTATCTCGAAATAATTTCTGAACCAAAGTTGTAGCCCTAGACAATACGAATCCAGCCCAACAAACGGCTCGCGATTTCGTTAAGTAACAAAGGAGATATGGTCAAAATACCGAGACTACGCCAGTGGTGGCGAGCTCCTCGGGTTGGCTATGTTTCTTCACCATATCCATGTTGTTTCGTTCCAAACACTTACCATAAACTCTTTAACGTTTATTAGGAACATCCGGAAGGTATCGTAGAGAAGGTTCGGTGTTGGAATATTGAAGTTAATGAATTAATCGTCGGAATCGTTGTTCATCGACATATCCGAAATCCTGGACAGCAACTATCCTTTGACTTCAGGTCTGATTTACGTTATCTTACACCTGTTAACTCGAAATACTATCTATACAAAAGTTATAGCCTTACATCTTAGGAATCCACAGAATCAAGCGGTTTGCAATTCCGTGAAGAAACGATGGAGATATGCCCAAAATATGGCAGGGTGTCCAATTGTGACGAGAATGACAAAGTTGGTGAATTTCGATGTTGTTTCCACTCCCGCTCATCCGTAAGGTTTCGGCCGATGATTTCCAGGTCTGTACCTTGTGTTAGACTTGTCGAATCATTCATCACATACATACATGAACATATATATTAATCCATTGGTTGAAATCATTCCAAAATATATATGTGAAGCATATATATGTCATCTATGTGTTAAGACCAAAATACACCAAATTCATAAAGTTAATATATATATATATATATACATAAGTATATATAAACATTTGAAATCAACCCAACAACATGTATATGTTAATCAAAGGTGTTTAAAAGACTTAAAGAAGTATTTTGAACACTCAAAATATCAAGAGAAAGATTCACAGACCCAAATGGTCGGCGCAAACGGTCGACCGTCGTATTAAACTTCGAAACGGACCTCGACTGTCAGCAGAACGGTCGACCGCCGTCGGCGAACGGTCGACCGCCGCCAGCCAGCGGAAGTCCGCCATCTGTAGCTAGTCAACAATGGTCGACCGCCGGTCACCCGCGGTCGACCATCACGGTGATCTGCCAATCCGACCTGATGAAGACCAAGGTCGACTGTCGCGCCGAACGGTCGACCGTTCCAAGCCCCGTAGCTTAATTAAATGATATTTTTATCAGATTTCACCCAAATAAAATAAAGTATATTTATCCATTCATATTGTTTACAAATTGTTCATATCATATGACTCATATCATCACACATATTGTAGCATATCATATCATATGCATGCGTAAGTGATCATGTGTAATTGCGTCTCTTATAGCGTGATGTGCGGGACTTAGCAGTCCGACATCACTGACCGGGCTTAGTGTACGTACATGGTATCCAGGCTTTCGAGTACCACCCCTATTTTTCTAGTCTCCCTTGTGAGACTAAGGCCGCTGAGTTCGTCGTATCAAATGGGTGAATTTCACAATGCAAGGGTCGTCCTTGTTGACTTAGAATCATGCATCATGTCATCATCATCAAGTACATTGATTACATAGGTGTTATGTAATCATCATCAAGAACAAATATATTGATTACATAGGTTTCATGTAATCATCATCAAGAACAATTATATCTATTACATCAGTGTCATGTAATCGTCCTCACGAACAAGCAAATTAATGTGTCATCATTTAATTATCAATAAATATTTATCATCATGAATCATCAAATTGATCATATGATATAATGTGCCATATCATGAATATTATTATACACCTTGTGGACGTATATATATGTATATGTATATGTCTGTTAATTATTCTACAATTCTAGCGTGGTACCACTCAGCGATTTCGTTGAGCGTGTAGTTTGTATTTTTCGTTGACTACACGTAGGTAACAAGAGGACAATGACAGAACCACTCCCGGAGGGCATTGAGTCAGAGGAGATGCAAGGATGGCAGGCAAATGTTTGATCATCGAAGATTTTAAATGTGTCATGATTTAATTATTATTGTACTTCCGCATTACTCTGAAAATATTTTTAAATGGGTCGCGATCCAGAGTCTGTAAATTTAATATTTATAAGTAATTGTCATTTTCAAATGTCAAGCGAAATTTTTATTTAACTCTCATTTCACCTTAATTCGTGTAATTCCGGGTTATACGGATTGGGGTGTTACAAGCTCTACCTTAGCTTGTTGCTGGGTGGCATGCTATTACAACCATTATTGTTGCTGAACTTGTGCCTGCGATATTATTTGTTCAATTAAAATATGATATTATGTGTTCAATTATTTCCCCCAATATGAAAAATATTCAAATGAAATATTTTCATGATATGTATTCTATATTGGTATCAATAATATCAAATGTTATAAGTTTGTATTCTAGTTATAAGATTATATTTTAAAGTTTAACAAAAACTATAGAATACTTTTTTATAACCCATACTTAAGATTTTTTGCCATTTTCTCGAAAAAAAGAAAAACATCGAATGGTGTAATCATCGAGTTCTTACCGGTTCAGACCAGTTTGAACAGGTTCAGAGCAAGTAGCTGTCTTATGGAATGGACCAAACCTGTTTCATTACTAGTTTGCTAGCTCTTAGTCCAAACTGGCTGGTCCGGTTTCAGAATTATGGTATGAAGTATTTTTACCCTGCTCAGCGTATCTCTCTAGTGAGAGTTCTAAAAATATATCGTTTATCTCGTACATCGCCCACTCTCTAATAATGAATATTATAAGAGCCGTGTAGCAAGTTACGCGTCAAAGTTATCATACGTTGAGTTGGGCCAGTAATCTTGTATGTTACTCAAAATCAACCTAGTGATCGTTACTTTAAACATTCACTATATCTTCTTTTAATGGTTTAGGAGAGCCTTTGAAATCATGAGTTGTATGGATTGAAGAGAGCCTTTAAAATACTCGGTTGCATACGTCTTAGGATCGACATCTGTTGAAAAGTCAATGTGTACTTAATGACAAGAGTTTTTTTTACCAAATTTCTAGTTGGGTATCAATTCCTCAGTTTTTGAAGTTCTATCTATCTAGTGGATTCAAAATCATTGAGGATCCTTAAGGCATAAGAGTATAGGATTTGAGTTTAGCACCTCGTTTAATTTTATTCTTCGTATAAGATCGTAGAAAATAAAGTTACAGAGAATTTACTTTATGATCTTGTTTATTTCATTTATGATTCTGCATTGGAAATGTTATAAAACTATCATGAAACACCCACTCGAAATAATTGGGAGTGAATTTGGTGTGTAGAATAATGTAACACTTAAAGTTCTTACTGGTCTTACATGGACATTGCATCAGACACACACTAATCTATAAATGACATAAAGTTGTTCACCCATCAAATGAGTTGTAATAGACGTCCCACAAGTCTATGATACTTGGTAGGATCCTGTATCTCAATGCTCGTAGATGGTGCAAGGTTGTGATTCATTCGGTTGAATCGGAGTGTCATACGACTTGCAACTCGACAACCCTTGGGCATACTCAATATTTAAAAAACAAAAGATAGGACCATGATCTTTCAAATGAAAATAGTCATCAAGGTATCACTTTGAATGATGCACAAAGAGAGGTGTTATTTCCTACAATAAGATTATCATCCACATGAACAAGAACCCCCAAAATATCTAGGCCACGATAATAAAAAATTAAATTATGATTAGCATGCATGAGCTTGACAAAAGCCATAACAATGCATAGCATTGCTTAATTTGGTAACCAATCCCGTGGGGACTAACGATGACCATAGAGTGACTTACGTAAGCAACACACTTTACCTAAGTGGGCATTGATATAGCCAGAAGGTAACTTCATATAAATCTCTTCTTGAAGATCAACAAGCAGAAAATCACGATTGGCGTCTAACTGATGAACCTCCTATTTTCTAGTCATATCAACTAATAATATAACCCGAATTATAGTCAATACAGCGATAGGAGCAAACATGGTAGTATAATCAGTGCTCAACTCTTAATGATTACTTAAAATTACTAACTTGGCCTTGTCTCGCTCTTTAGTGGCATTAGAACAAAACTTGGTTTGGTAGAACCATTGAAAACCCAAGCCTCAATGATGTGGTGGGTGGTCTGTAATATCCAACATATGATTTCACTCTAGACCACTAATCTTATGTTGCATAGCTTGACGCAATGATGCAAACTGAACAGCCTCCCTGAAATTCGCCTTTGGCACCACATTAAAATTTACATCACTAGAAAACCATTATACCTATCATTTAAGTTCTCATAATGAACAAAGTTAGTTATATTAAAATACGTACCTAAAGAGGAAGATGGAACATGAAAGGTTGTAATCAGAGTCACACATGGAGCTAAATGACATATTTAATCGGTAAGATAACCTTCAGGACAACAAGTACGAGTGGAAGGGGTGGTAGTGATAGGAGGTGGTGGGATGAGTGTTGCCATTAGGGTGGCAGTCCGTGACGCTACCTCAAGAGCAGCTGCTGGCGTGTTTTGGGCCAAGGAAGCACCAACTACGTTACCACCGAAAGGGCAGTGGAATGATTGTGAGGGAGGAGTTCGATGGAAACAACGATGTGTCTAGTGAATTGGTAGTGGCATGTTTTGGACGTAACAAATGGACAATTGTTTGTTATTAATCCCTGTTGGTGATTTTAGTGTCATCGGTTATTTTTTGTTATTGGGTTTACTTAGATTAGAAAAGAATTTGAATAGACGTTGTCAAACGAGTTAGGAGGCACGGAGTGCTCACTCGTTCCACGATATTACAAATTCATAGTAGGGGTCCGAGGGTGGCAGCCCCTGGGTAGTAGGATCCAAGAGGCATAGCCCCTGGCCAGGGTCGAGCAGCCGAGTAAGCTCGGAAATTTTTTATTCTCGACGTTTTTTCATTATAAATTTTTTTTAGATTTTCATGAACGGAGTCCAAAATGTTAAAAGATTTGGACATGTGGATAAACGCCAAGTTAACCTTAAAACCGCAAGAATCCTTCTGCGCGAACGTCAGTCTCCTTAAGCGAACTTTCGTATTTTCTAGAATTTATCTCCACGCGCAAACGTTCGCCTCATATGCGAATATTCATGTCTGATCATCAATTTTTGACTCTATAAATAGAGTCTCGTAGCTATGGGTTAAGGTATTCAATTTTTAGTGCTTGTTCTTGATTAACGTCTTATCCAATTAAAGTACTTCGTATACCCCAAAATAACTTTGATCTGAAAGCATTTTACATGATTCGTTATACTCTATCAAGTTCTTTGTTGACGCTTCTCTGAGCGTTCTTCCTCCATACAATTTCCAACAAAGATCAAAGTTATTACTAAAGTCATTTTCGAAGAACAGAAGGATGATGTGTGGAGATTGCGTAAGAGATTTGAGCAGCAAGTTTCTGAAGTTGGAAAACTTTCAAGGCACGGACTTTCGACGATCGCAGAAGAAGATGCACTTCCTTCTCACAACACTAAAGGTTGTGTATCTACTGAGCACGCTTATGCCAGAGATTATGGATAATGAAACTATGGAACACACAAGGAAGTAGTGCAAATGGGAGAATGATGACTACATTTGTCGTGGTCATATTCTAAACAGCATGTCTAATTTTCAGTTTGATGTTTACCGAAGTGTTGAATCTACAAAGTTACTTTGGGATGGTCTTAAGGAGAAATATATGGCCAAGGATGCTTCTAGCAAGAAGTTCGTCGTCAGTAATTTCAATAACTGTGAGATGGTTGACTCTTGACCAGTCATGGAACAATATAACAAATTGTTAAGGATCCTAGGCCAGTTTGCACACCATAAGATGGCAATGGATGAATCCATATTTGTGTCTAGCATAATAGACAAACTCCCTCATTTGTGGAAAGAATGCAAATGTGAGTTAAAGCATAACAAGGAGGAAATGAATCTGGAGCAACTTGGTACCTATCTTTGGATTGAGGAATCCATCCAAGATCAAGAGGGTAAGAAGGCTAAAGACAAAGTCGGTCCTTCATCCATTAACATGGTCGAAGAGGGAAGTTTCTCCAAAGGACAGAAAAAATCTAAGGGTCTGGAACGTAAGTCCGAAAATGCACCCAAACCTGCAAATAAGAAGGCAAAAATGGGGTCTTGGAAGTGTGGGAAACCAGGCCACTTCAAGAAAGATTGTCGCTTTGGCAAAAGAGACAAGGATGCATGTAAGAATGGTTTAGAACAAGGAACCAAAGACCAAAATAAACCATAAGGTCAGGTTTTTCTGGGCAACAAGAATTCAGTTACGAATTATATTTCAATTATATCTCATGCACTTTATGTGCAGTTCATTGGAGTAAATGGACAATGGATCACTATTACGCATGGGAAACGTGGCCACCGAACCTGTCAAGGGAATTGGAATAGTTAAACTTGTATTCACATCCGAAAAATATATACTCTTAGATAATGTTTCTTATGTACCAGGAATTCGAAAGAATATTCTATCTGGGATTGTAATGAATAACCATGGATATAAGCATGTATTAGAAATTAATAAATATATTTTATCTAGACACGGTGGCTTTGTAGGTTTTGGTTATTTATGCAATGGCATGTTTAAATTATGTTTGAATGTTCCTTTTGGCATGAATGATGTTTGTATGACTACTAGATGTGAAAGCCTTGAACAAAGTCTGGGGATTAGGGCTGTTGTAAGACTCCTGGAACCTAAAAGGAAAAATTTGGGTGAAAAAGGCATCGATTGCATTTTCATTGGATATGCTCTACATTCCAACGCTTATAGGTTCTACGTTATAGAATCTAATGACTCGGTTGGAGTATACATCGTGATTAAGTCAAGGGATGTAATCTTCGATGAGAATAGGTTTTCATCAATACCTAGACCAAGAGATATGGTTTTCATCAATACCTAGACCATTGATTCATTCGTTCCTACGAAAATAAGGAGAAGCAAAAGAGGTAGAGTTGCCAAATCCTTTGGCTAAAATTTTGAATTATATCTAATTGAAGGTTCTAGGGATGAAATTTTATTTCAATATCAATATTGTTATAATATTGAAGTAGATCCTAGAACATATAATGAAGCTATGGCTTCAAGGGACGTGGCTTTTTGGAAAGAAGCTATTCAAGATGAGATGGATTCCATCTTGCATAACAACACTTAGAAATTAACTGACTTACCTTAGGGATGCAAAAACTTAAGGATATAAGTGGATTTTCAAGAAGAAGATGAAAGTAGACAGTTCCATTGATAAGTTTAAAGCTA